TGTTTCTTAATCGATTGGCTATTCCTGGGGTCGAAGAATCGATCGGTAACGCAATTGGGCTACGACGGAATTTATTAATAATAAAATTAAAGTTGATGCTCACTGGTTCAAAATTAAACGAGAAAATAAATCTGTACGAGTTATTATTTACGCGGTCCAGCGAGTATCCCCATTTTGTTTTCGATTTCGCCGTGACTGGAATTAAAAGAAAATAATTGATAATAACGATTCGCTGTATAAAAGCGTCGAGCGAGGGGGAAATAAAAATAAGAAACGGGACGATTTAAAATTACGCGGTCCAATTAAGTCGCGTCGGAGTAATCGAGAAACGAAAATCGTGCGATGGACGCGCGAGAATGCGTACTGTTGCACTACGCGTTACGCGGATTAATTAAATTTCAAGCGCCTCTGGTTGCACGCGGTTAATTAACAGGCGAGCGGTTCTTTCTGCGACAAAAGTTAAGCACGCCTACAACGTGACGTTAACCTTTACTCTATTTCCTTTCTTGCTTGATAAGCGCTGTTAGAGTGGCATTTGGGGGCACTACGATTCACATAAAACCGACCATTCGGCCGTAACGACGCGATCTGGGGGCCAAGATGCTTCTGGTTTTGATGGCAGCCACGCTGGTATGAAAACGAATCAGTTTACTCCAAGTGAAGTAACTTTTAAACATCTCTATAATTATGCATGTATCGATGGTAATTGCTTAAAAACACGAATAAACCGCGATACCAAAGTTTCGATAATTCGTGTTCGCCTGAAATTGATGGTGCTCAAGACCAATATATCTTTTAGGCCTTAAAATTTGTTTGCATTTTATGAGGACGCAGGAAGCGGCTATTCAGGGGCTAAGACGTCATAAAACAGCTTTAATAACGTCGTAGATACCGTGGACTTTCTTTCTTGGACACCGTTTTTAAGATCGCGTAGGATGTTTACAGTGTGGTTGGTCGGAATCGATATCCAGGACATCAGGAGGCTTGTATCTCGTCCAATTTCTTTCCTAAAAGGATATTACCTTAAAGATCTTAGAGGCGTATAAGACTCTGGGAGTTTCTAGACCTATCAGCGGGCTTAAAATATTTCCCTTGGTTTGAAGCTAGGTTGTTTCATTCGAAATTATTTTCCACGGTGGAGAATATTTTAAACGAGAGACAAACAATGGCGTACAGTAAAAACATCGTAAATATAGGTGTTTTCATCAAATGCACTTGTTTGAAACAGTCTCGTACTGTTTAAACTTGTTCGAGGTTGTTTTCAGATGCCTGAGTTTAGTTAAAAATGTTTATTTAGTACTGTTTGAAGCTACGTCGACTAACTGAAGTTGTTTCAACTTGGTCGAGGCACTTTCAAGTTGTTTGAGCATATTTGAAGCTGATCCCGGTTGTCTAAACCTAGTTAAACACTTTCATTGAACTCGTTTGTGCTTCTTTAAACTTATTTGCACTTGATCGAAACTTTTATAATATTTATCGACTTGGCAGAAGTCGTTTGAGTGGATTTATAGCTTCTATAAGTAGTCTGGAATTTGGTGTTAGTTTGAACGTGTTTGAGACTGCTTGACGCTGTTTAAACTTGTTGAAATTCTTCGTAATTTGGTAAGGTTGTATCTAACACGGAAAGTCTCCGGGGGAAAAGGATAAATGAGCAAATGTATAACGAATATTTGCAAAATCAAAATCTAAATTCCTACTTTCGTTATAAGATATATTCATTGTTAAAATCTTGCAAGATGTTTCCCTGTTGCTTTGTTTCACCGTCGCGGCAAGGCAAACCACCATGTTTTCATTATGAATATACCGAGCAAAGTTAATTAAGCTCCTATTACGTGAATTAAAACAGACGAACACATGGTATACGGTAATAATTTGTGCAAAAATGGTACGCGAACAGGCGAGGTTTGCGTAAAATATGAATATTTCACGACCGGCTGTCAAATAAATTACGAGGACAAATGAAATTTTAATATTCCGCAAATGAATTCATAATGTTATAATTAATATAATGATTAACCTTATTTTAACCTATGTAGAAATTTTTGGCTGGTATTAGAAGCTGGGAAAGCCTATGATTGGTATTAAGAAAAATTGCTTTATCGAGTGGGGTTTACGCGTCAAACTTTGTTTGCAATATTGACGATTGGCCTACGCCCGGTAAAGCTCGGATCTGGGTTTGGCTTTTTTCGCCTAATCCTGGATCAAAAACACACCCAAAGCATGGAAATATATGTAGTCTGTGCATACAGCGTGTATGTACATAGACGGTGCGTCACGGGGAACATAATACCAATACTATGTATGTGTTTAGTGGATTTGGGGATATAAAAAAATCTGCAAACAAAACGTTCACTAATTTCTCTTTAGACAATTACTGAAAAATTAAAAATTAAACGATTTAAAATAGATACTCAGATAGGACCGATGTAACCCTCAAATGGATTAATTATTTAACAATTTATGTAATCCTGCATTAGTTCGTTTTAAATTCTTTAAAAGGAAAGTTGATTTTCATTTACCAATTTGGTAAGAATTAAGTGAAATAATTCAGTTGAGACTGAGAGTCCACTCGGGGGTTAAAACTGATATGCATAATGAGACAATGTAAAATCAAAATTTAAAATAACTTATTATAGTATATTGAAAGCTGTAAATTTCTTCGAACGACCCAAAGAGCTATGAAACCGAATAAACGAAGTGCGGACAAAAAACAGCATTCACGAAAGAAAATAAGCCCCGGTGGTACGGCGCGCTCCCCCCGAAGCATACTAAACAGACCCTCCGGTCTCTCTTTTTCAGTCCTTCCCCGCATTCCCAGCGGCGACTCGAACGAAGAACGGAAATTATTCGGGAATGCCTGCATCGTAGTAAATAATCGAGGAACTAACCCCCGTCATCAGGTTCAGAAACCATGAGAAAACAGGTTTCCCCGTCGGTGTGCGTGCGCGATCCGATGCGGAACGGAAAGCGTGCGATGATGCTGGGGGTGGCCTGGGCCGCGTTGGCGGCGTAGAGACCGTTTGGTGTCGCTGGCAGAGGGGTTGGGGGTTGGTGTGGAAGGGCGGGAAAGGGAAAACGCCGGTCGACGGGGAGGGGGATGCGCGGTGTATTAAACCCGGTGACTCTTGCCGCGCAGCGTGGGAGTTAGTTCTGGTGAGGGCGCCAGCCAGCTCACTCGCTAAACTAAACCCACCGTCCCAACCCTTCGATCCTCCATCCCTCGACCTTCGACCAACAAAGCAACATCCACGGCCGCAACCTCCTTTCACCGACTTCGACGTCGACGTTTTTTTTATCCGCGACTTCCTGGCCAGCCAACCGGGAACCGTCGACAGACGACGCGCGTCTCACCACCGACCGTTCGACCGGTTCGCGTCACCGGGCGAGAACCATTTCTCCGGCGAGCATGCGAGAGTACGCGGTCCGCGGGAGGGAACGCAGCTCGACGTAAGTGCCGTCGCGCTCCAACCGACACTCGAACGAAGACGCTGAACAGTCTGATCCCACGTCTCGACTCCGCACACGTCCACGAGCCGCGACCGTCGTCGACGACTGGCATATCGGGTGACCGACAGCAAGCATGCTGAACGACCGCTCGCACCATTTTGTGTTCGCGTGATCGCGGGGAAAGAGTCAGGGTAGCCCCCCCATGCCGGTGATCGGAGAGGACACGGTGCCCGCGAGAACCTAGTCCAGAGGCATCGACGAGAAAGAGAGTCGTTTTGCGACCCGGTGATTTCGCGCTGAAGTAGCATGTGCGACGCGGGACGAGCTCTGTAAAAGGTTGGGAACGAGGAAGAGAAGGGATTTTTTCGCAGCAACCGGCCACTGAAGCAAGTATCTCGCACAAAATACGCATACCTACACGTAAATGTTTCCGCGACTCTGCACTCTGTCTCTGTCTCTTGTTAACTTTTAACCGTCACTGTCCGTAAAAACCCCCGCGTCGCCTGTGTGTCACCGCTCTCTCTGTCACTTGTGTATCGATGTGTCCTACCCTTCACTTCATTTCGACGCACCCGAAACCCGAAACGGATCGTACGTCGCCTAATTAATTTCTCACCCCCCCGTCACGCGGGAGCACGGTTTTGCACAATTTTTCGGGCACCTGTTGATCTCTCGTCCTACATAGCCACTTTTCCGCACTCGAAAGTCGGTACGGGGGAGTTCGATGTCACCGTTGCACGCCGTGTCAACGCGCGTAGAACGCCCGGCGGACACCGCCGTCGGCTTCCGTCGACCGTCGGCCGCCGAACGGCGCGAAACACGCCGGGACCACCGGCGATCCGACCCCTGAGCCGCCTGGATCTTGGACGCGGAAAGATCGAGAAAGCGTCTTTCCCGTCGGTGGACGGACAGAGTGACAGAGGCTACGAGGCTGACCGCCATGCGACGAAAGAAACCAGGGGTAAGCGAGCGACCAGGAGGCCCCCGGAGAAAGATAACTCGGGTTACGGAGCACGTAACCGTGACCGATCGATCGGGTTTCATTGTTGCCCACACTGTCGAGCACCTTAAAAGCATCAGCACCAGCACCACTGCATCGCTGCACCCCGACCACGCATCCCCGAGACACGCGCCGCTATTCTTTACTAACCGCCTGATTTCAGGACACGGGCTAAATGCGAGACTAGCGTTCACACCGCTGGTTAAAAGAGGATACCCTTAGGGACGGGATGAGACTGGCCGAACACGTTTAAGAAACCGCTTTTTCCCTCATGCGACGGAAGCCTACGCGGGGTTATATCGATTGATCCGCCTGGTCATCGCTCATCGTCCGCGTTTTCTTCCTTAGTCGCGCCACCCACGAAGTCGTTACCCACCCACCCACACCCCCCTCCCATCCCTACAGCCCAGCTAACGAAAAGTCGGCCTAAACCCAGAGTTGTGCCTTTCGACTGGCAGCGAAGAACTAGCGATCAGAGGCGAGACGTCGGGATCAGAGGCCCGTGAGACGCCTGACAGTCAACGACCCGCCGAGTCGAGAGATAGTCGTCTGTATGATGGCGGTGTGCATGTTCTGGCTGCTCACGTACGTGGGTCAGGGCCTGGACCTGGCCGTGGGGAATCGTCCTGTGATCATCATGCAGGGCTCGCAGGAGCAGGACTACCGCCACGGAACCGGCATCAGAAAGAAGAACGAATTGAACTCGGTCGGCAATAACCTGTTGCACTTCAGGATATATCCTCCGGAGGCGTCCCATCGCGACGACCTGTCCAATTGGCTGTTGCTCAACGACGAGCCGAGGATCTCGTCGTGGACCCCGGCGGGCATATTGATCGACGACATGATCAGGGAACCCAGGGAACTGCAGACGGTGTTCTTCGCCCTGTCGCCGACGATGCTGAACGTCCTCTACTCGGAGTACATGACGGCCAATCAGCTGGGCGAGCAGTTCCCGCACGAGGATCAGCCCAGCCACCTCGGTCAACGCGGCAAGAAGCTAAGGATAGACTGCAGACACCCGAGGAACACCGTCAGCCTGCCCATCAGGATCTGCGACGACGCCACCGGCAGAAAGAACCATCAGGAATCCAGACAATCGAGCTACGAGGATCTGTTCGATCAGAAACGCGCCGGGAGTACGAAGACTGATATGACGCGGGGCGAGAAACCGCGGGACTACCAGAACAACGGTTTCGTCTCGAGGGCGTTCGCGATAGACGCCAACAAGCTTCCTGGAAAGAGGAGCCAAACGCCTACCGGACGCCGCTCCATCGACCTTCCCGGAGAGTCTGCCCCGCATCAAGCTCAACCTCCGTCGTCTCTAGGGTCCGGGATCAGCGTCGCTTCTCAATTTATGCTCAGATCTACCAGGGGAAGCATACAATACGATGTCCCGCAGATCGGTGAGTGACACTTTGTTGCTATCTGCTTAGTCGGGAAGGAATCGTTGGGAACCTGGGGATTTGGAACGGGGGATGTTGACTTGAGGGATCGTGTTCGGTCAGGAATCTTGGAAAATAAGATTTCTGGGGTTTGATTTGGATTTCTGAGAGTATTGCATCTTCAGGATAGTCACTGAAAGTCCCAAATGTCATAGTCCCAGTGATATTCCTAAAATCGCAGGAAACCTGGGGATTTGGGATGAGGGATATTGAGTTGAGGGGTCAAGTTCGGTTAGGAATCTTGGGGAATAAGATTTCTGCGGTTTGATTTGGATTTCTGAGAGTATTGCATCTTCAGGATAGTCACTAAAAGTCCCAAATGTCATAGTCCCAGTGATATTCCTAAAATCGCTGGGAGCCTGGGGATTTGGGATGGGGGATGTTGAGTTGAGGGGTCAAGTTCGGTTAGGAATCTTGGGAAATAAGATTTCTGGGGTTTGATTTGGATTTCTAAGAGTATTGCATCTTCAGGATAGTCACTAAAAGTCCCCAATATCATACTCCCAGTGATATTCCTAAAATCGCTGGAAACCTGGGGATCTGGAATGGGGGATGTCGAGTTGAGGGGTAGTGTTCGGTTAGGAATCTTGGAAAATAAGATTTCTGGAGTTTAGTTTAGGCTTCTGAGAGTATTAAACAGTGTTAGAAGTCTAAGAAGACCTAGAGTTTAGGATGCAGACATAACTGCTATTTTTGAAGATTAGAAAAGTGACAATTTGGCGTGTTGATGCGCCTAAAATATGCAACCATATCTTCTCTGCAGAAAGGAGTCGAAATGCTTATGCCCCAAACCTAACACAGGAGTATGTAGTTCAGAAGTTACAACAGATGAAAATTTGATTATTTCAGTGTATCATTCGTGGACTCTTTCTTCAGGTTTCCAGCACTATATTTTGAGGTTATTTTTGTAATCCCCAAGGCGTACGGCAATTGGTTACTCAGTGAGACCTGACTATAATCTTTCTGAAATATTCATTGGGGCCTTTTAGCAGATCTAAATAGACCTAACCTTCGAACAAATCAAATGAAAATAACAGTAAGAAAATTAGATTTGAAAAATGTATAGAAATTATGTTTTCTTCAAGTTCATAGTATTTGAAGTTATTCTTGGAATTCCTAATCCAAGAGTATAGGAATTTGTTACACAGTGAGACTTGACTATAGTCTCCCTAAAATATTCATTGATAATTTTGACAGGTCTAAATCTGTCTAGCCTTTACATAGATCAAAGAAAACGATGACAGACGTACGAGAATAATAAAAATATAGACAATTCCCCATAGTTCGTAATCTCATACTTAAAAATTCATTTTGGAATTTTTATTACATCTGTATACCAATTGATCGATAAATAAAATTCTAAAAACTAAATAGTTTCAATAAAAATCACAACAATCGAGTTTTATTAAAAAAATGTAGGCAAAAACTGTGAAGCTCTACTCTTGAAATCATAGTGCTATACATTCGTGTTAATTTTCGATCTACTCGATCGAATACCGTAGCATACTATGGCAGTATATTGGTGAATGAAATTTGTTTAGACTAGGCTAAGCAGATCAATAGTTCTAATGGAATAGACTCAAGGTAAACGAAGTTTGCAATTATCTAAACAGAATGAGAATGTTGATCTCCCTTGATTCGGTTCAACCTGAACAAAGAACACCCTGTACAATTATTATTCCATGCGTTTCAGCTTGGTTCGAAACAACGTTACACGTGAAAGTTCCCCTTTAACGGTAGAAAAAATATGCAAGCTTTATAACTGGTAACTTCACTTTGCAATTTCGAAACATATCTGTCGGCGCTTCCAGTTAATTTCGACACGCGTAATTCAAACTTTATAAAGTCACGTAGCGAGCTCTGGATCCGTATTGCTGTTCCGGTTCGTCCCCACGAAACTTTCATTGCTAAACTGTGAAAATATTCATTCTTTCTCGTCCGCCCGATGACATTCCTCTAAACTAATTTTAAAGCTCGTTTGTACGACGAACACGGTCGCATAAACGTAATTGTTTTCGTCATACCCCACCCCAATCTGTTTAGTTTAGTACAACATATACATAGATGAAAGTGATTCGGTGGTATCGCTGGGAACTTCAGATAGTCGAATTAAAAGTTCCAGCGTCGCCTTCGTTGGTCGAAACCAGACGAAGTTTGATTGGGACGACAAATTGACCAATGAAAGCTCTTTCGAGAACCCTTGAATTCGACGAGAGAAATAATTGAATGAAGGATTGAACCTTGCACTTAAAACAACAATGGAATATTTTTGGAAAATGAAGAGCAATCTTTTCCAACGCATCTCTGAGTACCCTTTAGATGACAATCTTTCGGGTATCAATTATTTTAATAGATTATCGAAGCAAGAGCGCCCCCTATACACCGAATTTTTATACATAACCTCTTTTAATAATAATTTAACTCCATTTCTTCAATACAATCCTATATTTTAAAATGTTATCAGTTGTTGGTATGTAAAATGCAGATTGAACGAAATTGAATGCACATATCGTATAAAAAAAGCAGTAATATCCGATAATAGGAATTACAATCATATTAATACGTTTAAAGACAATTAAATTTCTCTCATTTTCTCGTTAACGGCCCAGTAATAGCCTCCACAACCTCTTTAATAATAATCCATACTGTGGGATTACTTACGCAGCAAATATATCGAGAGTTAGTGCAGGTATTTCTAAAAATAATACGACAAAATAATATTGTTTTATAATAATAATCGTAAGTGATTAAAACCATATTGTTGAATTTAATTGTAATCGAGAGTCAGAGCTTTGAGGAAAATTAAATTCCTCCCATTTTCCCGTTATCGATAATATTACATAACCTCCAACAATAGTCGAAAATATTATTCAATAGTAGTAATTATGGCCAATTTATTGGTTAGCGTTTCCAATTAGTATCGAATAAACTTTTTTGGTCCTTTTCATAATTCTAGGTGATCTATAAAGCATTCAGTAGTTTATGAGGATCTAATTAATAATGAGGAAAATTGTTGTGTGGTACTCGTAACTAGTATCCTAGCTTGAGGCGGTTGGTTAATTATTTTGAAAATTCTGAATAAACATGCATTTATAGTCCAGATGGTTTCCTTATAATTAGTTAATATCTAAGCGTAAGGTAATTCTAACGAATTTGAATAATCATAGGTTAAGGAAATTCATTAATATTAATATCATTCGATTTTGTATGTCTAACTCGCGCGTAAAATTAAACTTCTGCCATTTGTCTGTCATTGATTAAACAACGCCCTCTGTGCCACAAATTTTGATACATAACCTCCTCAAGACTACCCTAAATCTCTTTGCAATGCAATATTTTACACTGTTATGGATTATTATTATTATTTAAAGTCGTGTTTGAAAATATTATTCAAGAAAATACTGTCTAACAAGAATTACTATAGTTAATTGCAATCATTACGATGCAACAACGCCATCTAATCCTAGAATTCCGATACATAACCTCTTTAACAATACTTTTTTCCCAAACCTCTTTTTATATCATGCAATATCAATATTTATATAGCAGATGCATATATATATATTGTTAAAAATGCTCCACGAAAATAAATACCGTTCGATAACAGTAATTTTAATTTATTAAAATGAAGAGTCCGGCTAGCGAAGAAAATTAAATTTCCGTCGCCGTTTCGTTACCGATCAATACACCCCCGAGCTTCACATAAATTTCAAAACACTTTCCCGCCCCCCCGATAGACCGCGGGTATTTGTTATTTTTAACTTGATTAAGCAGTCGTAATTGGCGCGGAATTTTTTTCTGTACTGTGTAACGCGCATCGATTTTCAAGTCGCGATAGTAAACAGCGCGTCTCGTTTAATGACTTTTATCGTGCTCTCCGATCGCGATGGCGCACCCCCGCTGATGCCCGGACGGATTACAGAGAAGTGACAATTTAATCGCGGGGTTTCGTATCAGCGTCACACCGCGGCATTTTCCGCGAAAAAAGGAAAATAAAAGAAAAAGAAACGAAGAATGATAAACGCCCGGGGTCGTGGGATTAATTTTGCTCGAGTGACCTTTACGTTGGCGGGAGCGCGGGAGTGAGGAGAGGGGGGGGGGGTCGGAGGGTCGGGATCGATCTATCGAGTTTCGATTAGTTTATACCCGATCACCTGCGCAGCAAATGAAGTGACGCTGATTAAACAGTCGTAGATTCTTGTTTCTGTCGCCCTTTGAACGTTTCTTTCCATTTCCAACCACCCACCCCCCCCCCCCACCCCCTTCCGTAGTTAATTAAAATTGATATCGAGAACGTCGTTGGTCTTGTACGGGGGTGCGTGATTCATTGTAGTAAGTTGATACTGGGACGCGCGAGCTGGTTTTATTACAAGTGGTTCCCTTTCTGTTGGTGGATGCTTTATGGCGGGAAGCATGGTAATTAGATGTCGACGATACTTTTCCAGATAGATATGTGTACTCGAGAATTCAATTTTGTGGGGAATTTTACACTTGTATGTAGTATACTTTAATGTAGTAATGGTACCCTATTAGAGTCGTGCTGCTATCATCAAGTGTTATATAGCAATTGTAGAGTAATAGTTGCTATAGCATATGGTAGGAATGTTAACACTGCACTGAAAGTGCAATACAATTACAGTATTACTATTCAATACTCTATACTAATATTTACTTTATCTAAATTTATATAATATTATATCTATAATAGCGTATCATATCGTAGACTAGACCTCATACACTAGATCTCCATAATATACTCTAACTGCTACATTATTGCTATACAATATAATACTTTGATGATATAGAAGTTCCTTAGTATTATAGTAGAATCCATAGAGTAATCATATATGCTATAAAATGGTGATTGAGTAACACTATTATAGCAACTATAATCCCACAATTGCTATATAGTACTTTATGATAGCAGCATTTATTGTATGGTACGTTTAATATTATTCTAT